TTGATTGGGTAAAGCCCTAACCCTGGACCAGATTCAGCACTGATCCTGCCTCAAGCCAGAGGCTTGCCTAGGCCATCTCTGGAGATCCCTTCCAAACTCAACCATTTCTGTGACATCTTCTGACAACCTATGCTGTCTTTAACATTCAAATGCAAATGCCTGGTTAGTGCTCTTTGGCACTGCACAATGACAAGTGATAAATCAAAGCAGTTATTTGACAAATAAAAAATGTCTCATCTAGCTCTGTAAAATGCAGAGGAACTCATTTGAGAAACAAGCATCTTAAAGAGTAATTTCAATAAACTTTAAACCACATAAAAATGGTTCCCACCTACCGCAGTACTGCATGAAGTAATTTTGAGGCAACCCTGTATATTCTTTCCTAAGCCAGAAACTTAAATGTAATGTATTCTAGAAATATCACCTTTTCTAAAGGGATTAAGCAAAAGAATAAAGACTCTTGGAAATTACTTGAACTCCTGCAGTAATCAACGTGCAGGTTCTTAAAATCTTTGCTTAGGTCTTTTACTGTAATACTGATTACAGTTATTTAGAAAAACGAATGCTACTTAACAGTAATCCCACTTGTCATAATCCCTTTCCCTTCTATCCGACTCAGTAAGAGATTTACTCACCAGTTCATACAGAGAAAGGCAGAATGAGGAGAAAACTCATCTTCTCCATTAAGAAAGAAAACACTAATTTTGCTAAAATCACCTCCAGATCACCACATGTAACAACAGAGCAGTACATCAGGTGCGCAGTGTAGCTACATTGTGAGGGGAGGTTTAAAACTTCTGTTAAGCCACAAAATAGCTAAACTAAGCATAGTAAAAGGTACTGAAATATTTTCTAAGAGTCACTGCTTTTCAAGATAATATCACAAGCTGTTCAGGTAGAACTTTTACTTATCAGTAAGCAGTCACAAACATCCCATCCGTTACAAGACTTTAAGCATAGAGGTATATTTGTACAAGAAAAACTCTAGAAATTCTATGCTTATTAATTATTATTAGCAATGCTTGAGTGGTTCCAGACTCAGAAACATCATCAGATTTCTGGCCATACAGTGATGGCCCTAGATGATACAGCTGTTTTCTGTCACATCTGCTTTTGTATGTCAAAAGTGATAATTCTGCTTTGCTAGATTAATACACACTGATGGATGTAGGGGAACAGATGCTCATGAGGCAAGCAAGGTCATACAAACATCAATGACTGAAACATATTAATGCTTAAGCTCCTGAGTGACAAAAGGGTCAAAATTACTATTATTCGCTTATCCAATCAAGCTGAAGCTGGGCTCACCAAAGAAAGGATGCAAAAAGTGAAGTGTGTGAACATAAGTAACTGAATCATCTGTACAGACTACATAGTACTTATAAACAGAGCTACATGAATACTGGATACACTAGCCCACAAAATATTTTGAATGCAAGTACGTAAAGCTCTATATCTAGAAACAAAGAACACAACCCACGTTTTGATGAGAAAGGATTTACAAGTCACAGTAAATGAACAGCTGAATGCAGACTCAAGCGCAAGAGGATTTAGGAATCATGGCAGAACCACAACTAAACATGGTCTTCTACCATAATGCCACGTCAATAGTATTAGTCTGATTTTCAGATACATAAGAAAGGCAGCTGACACCAATATTGAATAGACTATTTAAAGCAAAATAGTAGAAAAATACTTCATGCTACACTTGTATCTGCCCCCAAAATGTTGGCAAATTGAGAAGGTACAAGAAAAGCTCAAAGTTTTTTTAGCCAGGACCAAGTATTTGTGGATGACATCTTATACAAACTGCCAAAAAGATGATCAACAGATGGCTCAGCAATAGTGAACTTCCCAGGAAACAAATATGAAGGATAAAAGTTGAATTAGGTAGCAAAACAGCTCCTTGTTTATATTTAAGTTGAGAATAAGGTACTTTGTATCAGATACACTGGCAGTACTCAACCAAAAGAGGAATATAATGCACAGTAAGACTGGCACAAGAGCAGCAGCACCCTCAGCTACTCACTGGACGACATAAGCTCCAACACATGGAACAAAACCCCTACTCTTGCTCTTTCCTGGTGTTTGTCCTAAGGAGCTCCCAAGTACAGCATTTACTAGTGACATGTGAGTTTAGCAAAAATGAAGCAAACTCATGCATAAAACCTCTGTTATTATTGGCCAAAACATCATCATCGTTGAAAGAAATTTTTAACTTGGGGATCTCAGACACTATCTTGTTCTAGCATACAAAAGAACCAGAAGATACTGTATCAGAATGATCAGAGAACAACTGCTTGAAGCCTTGTCTCAGGACTCCCCTACCATGAAACAGATTCATAAATAAAACCACAAAAGTATCTTATGGGCCAACATTAAAGGTTCCAGAACCAGAAGTGCTTAAGATAAAAGGTGCAGTGGGATTAGGAGACTTGTGGTGCTTCATTAGCCCTTCAAACAGGACTTCTCTAAAGTACTGCTTGAAAAAAAATGGCAGGGCGGCTGGG